TCCCCGTGGCTCGGGCTGGGTGCGCCTACAGTCCGGCTGAATTGGACATTATCCTCGAGAGCTGCCCTAACAGCTGTGGTAGTTGTGCTCTGTCGCCGTCGCCCGAGCCGTCGCCCGAGCCATCGCCCGAGCCGTCGCCCGAGCCGTCGCCCGAGCCGTCGCCCGAGCCGTCGCCCGAGCCGTCGCCCGAGCCGTCGCCCGAGCCGTCGCCCGAGCCTTGCCCCGACTGCCAAGAGCAGTCGCCGCCGCTGCCGCGGCCGCCTCCGCCCTCGTACCCGCTCGCATACTACACCATCACCACGACGCCGGGATCGTACCCTAGCGAGGTGAGCTGGGACCTCCGCTGCGGTTCACCTCGTGAGGATGTCCTCTCGTCGGCGCCCTACACCGGCTTAGACGAGTGTGGGCTCTGCCCAGACTTCCAGGCCGAGTACGGCGTCTCCCTCTCGCCCGGCGTCGAGTGCGAGCTCCACATGTACGACTCGTACGGCGACGGCTGGCAAGGCGCTAGCTGGTCGGGCCTCGGGCAAGAGGGCCTCACCGTTGCCTCTGGGTCCGAGGAGCGGAGGTCTTTTGTTGTACCGTTTGCGCCGCCCTCCCCGCCGCCATTGGCGCCGTCGCCGCCGCCGTCGCCGCCGCAGCTGCCGCCACCGCCGCTGCCCCCGCTCGTCCCCGGCGAGGCCCTCGCCCGCACGCCTCAAGACATCCGGGACGAGATCAACATGGCCGTGGACCAGGGCCGCAACGCGAGCGTCTACGTCCCGCCGGGCGCCCGCCTTGCCTTTAGCAGCAACGTCGCGTGCAGCGGCGACATGCTCCTCTCGGTCCGGAGCAGCGGGGAGGGCGCGACGCTCGACGGCAAGAAGATCTCCCGCATGTTCTACATCTCGAGCGGCTGCAGCCTCTACCTGGAGGCGCTGCACTTTGTGGACGGGGTTCATCGCCCTGCTGATGGGAACGGGAATTGCGCTGCGGCTCTACTACTGGCGAACCGCGTCACCGCGCCCAAAGCTGTGGGCGGAGGCGGCCCTCGGCCTCCTCGACCTCACGCCCGCCGGCTTGGTGCTCATTTTCTGCTTCGTGCCCTCCATCAGCGCCTCCATCTTCCGCTCGTGGTCGTGTCAGGCGCCTCCAGCCGATGACTGCCGTTGCTCACGCCGCCCCTCAGGCAGTGTGCTGCTGATAGGCCTACACCATCTCTCCGCCGAACGAGCCCCTGGAGCAGGTCTCCTACATGCGGCAGGACGCGAGCGTCGAGTGCGGCACCGACGATCACGAGTCGATCAAGAATCTCGCCATCGGCTTCATCGTCCTCTGGCCCGTCGGCTCGCTGGTCCTCTTCACGTCGCTCCTCGCCGCCTGCTACAAGCCGCTGCAGGCCAAGTCGCCGAACGCTCTGACGCGTGCCACCGCCTTCCTCCACCGGGAGTACGAGAAGACCTGGTACTGGTGGGAGGCGGTCGAGCTGGCGCGCAAGCTCGTGCTCACGGGTTTCGTGCTGCTGATCCCCGAGAAGAACGCCTTTCTTCGCCTCGTGGTGGCGACCCTCGTCTGCTCGTGCTACGGCTTCATACTTTCCGCCGTGCGGCCGTACAAGCGGGTCGAGGACAACTTTCTAGCCGTCGCCACGAGCCTCGCGCTCCTCCTCCTCTTCCTCGGCACCAACTGGACCACCATCTTCCTCGGCATCGAGGAGCGGTACCAGGAAGCCGACCCCGCCGATGTCCTCGGCTTTGGCAAGCTCAATGCGATCGTGGACACGATGATCGTCCTCGTCGTTTTTGCGCTCGTGGTCTTCTTAATCGGTGCCGTCGTCGCCGCCCGCCGCGTCGCCAAGGTCCCCACAGTGCGTCTCGTCTCGACCAAGCAGCCCCCCGAGCTGAGCATCGGGACCGGCATCACGTGGCACCTGTTCCTCTCGCACATCTGGTGCGTCGCGCAGCTAGGAGGGTGATCAAGCCAGGCCGCATCCAACTCCAACCCCCTAACCATGCAGGTCGACCGGTCAAGACGCCGTCGGAAACATCAAGAGCGAGCTCCAGCTTCTGGTGCCGGGCCTCAAGATCTTTCTCGACGCGCGCACAGGCTCAGCCGCGCTGCTTTAGCTACACACAGCCCTTCTGACGCACCGCGGAGTGTGCGCACAGGTAGATGATCTCAAGGATATTGGGTCGCTGGAGGAGTACATCCAGCACTCGCAAATGATCCTCTTCTTCCTCTCGTGTGGCTACTTCCGCTCCAAGGCGCGCTCTCGCCGCCCTGTCCCGCGCTCGGGATCGTCTGGCTCTCAACGCACCCGAGTCTGCTGCGCCCCTCGACACTCCCCACGGCTCACCGCCCGCCTGCTTGCGTGCCACCAGAACTGCCTCCGCGAGATCCGCTCGTCGCTCGAGATGGACAAGCCGATCGTCCTCGTCCAAGAGGCGGACCCTGCAAAGGGCGGCGCGACGCTGCAGGCGCTGCGCGGCGAGTGCCCCGAGGACCTGCAGCCGGACATCTTTGAAAAGGGCTGGGCGCACACCATCTACATGCGAATCCAGGAGTTCCAGCGCGTCTCGCTCAAGACCATCGTCGAGGCGCAGCGGGACACAGCCGCAGCCTTCTCGCCCCTCCCGAGACCTCAGCCCCGGCACCCTTGAACCACAGGCGGTGCTGCTCTGCTCGCCCAACTACGTGAACCAGACCTCCCTCCCGCTCTGCGTGCCGGGCGAGCCCGAGAGCCAGCCGCTCGCCTTTGCCAAGGAGACCATGCTCTGGGCCTCGCCGGCCAACGCGGGCGCACAGCTCTTGGCTGAAGAGATTGCCACCACTTTTGCCGGTCTCACCGTCTCCACCGCCGAGGCGCCCGGGCCAGCGACCCACATGCTGCTCTACCTCAACGAGGACAGCTTCAGCGACGAGCGGCTGGCCGAGCAGGTCAAGCAGGCGCGCAAAGACAAGCTGAAGATCGTCATGGCGCACGAGAACGACCCGGACCGCGGTGGCTGCCTCTTCTCGAAGTTTTTCGAAGTCACCCCGCAGGAGCGGGCTGGGGTTGGGTCATGATGCACTCAATCTAGGCGCTTAATCGCCCCCCCCATACGCGTGCCCTTCAGGAGCTCATCGCCGACGGACTCTACAAGGACCTCGCGCGCTCGTGCTTCCCGGGGCGCCACCACCCGGCGCGCGCTTTGTCTCCCCCACATCTCGCCTTGCGCATCGGCGGTACTCACCAGCCAGGGCGCTCCGGTCCGCAGGTGTCGCTCGCGCTTCTGGCAAAGGACCTCGGCGCGACTCCCGCTCGGTCGCGGGCGGAGCTCCTCGTCTCGGGCAGCATCGCCGAAGCAGGGGACCTCATTTCCGGTGGCATTGGCGAGGGCAGCACCAGCGTCGCAAGCGTGAGCCGCCTCTCGGCCAGCATCGCCGAGCACGGCAGCCGGCTCTTCCTCAAGATCAGCCGCCGCAGCTCTGCGACGGCAACCACCGCGGGCGACGGCACTGGAGGCGAGGCGACGGTCTCGGTGGACGCGGTGGAGGCGGCGGCCTCGGCGGAGGCGGCGCAGGAGCATGTTTGACTTCGGCGGCCGCACTCACGGCAGACGCCACAGCACACAGACGCCAAGCATCTTGAGCAATTCACATGAACATGAGCAGGGGCGCCAGCGACCCGCCAGGGAGGAGGGGTGGGAGGCGTTTGCCGCGTCGGCGATCCCCACGGGTCTGGGTCCAGTGATTGGGGCTTTCTAGGGAGGGGGATTATGCTCAGCAGAGGCGCCGTGGCCGTAGTTGCCTGCTCGAGGCGTCTCTCGCGCGCGCGCCGGCCAGCTGGCGGGCGGCCAGCGCTGGGGTCCTAGATTGGGAAGGGTTGAGGCAGAGGGGAGACGAAGAGGGTGCTGCGTGCGCACACCGCGCGTCGTTGCATCTACTTGAGCGTGCCCCGCGGGAGGTCTCCCACATTTTCCCTCGAAAAGTGTGCGAAAAGAATTTTACAACACTCTCTCGCACACGGAGCCACACGCACGATTCACACAACAGGCGCGGACGACGGCTTCTAATTTGTTGTAAAATTCTATTAGTGAAGCCGTCGTCCTCACAGAAGCCGCCGTCGGATTCGCAGTCAGAAGGCGGATGGTCGAATCCGCGAGCACCGTGGTGCTCGCCGAGAGCAGGACCATCCCCATCATCTTCCGACTCCATCCCCTCGCCCCCCCGTCGCTCCCGCCGCGCCCCCCGCCGGCGTTCGTGGCGGGACTTCCCGCCCCCTCCCCCGCCAGCACCGCTCCGCAACTCCTCCAGGTCCTCCTCCCAGAGGAGCAGCCGCCCCTCCCTCACGCAATCCTCCCACCCTGGGAACGGAGCAGACCACGCCCGGACCCCACGCCCGGCATGCCGCACAACTCCTTCCGCTCCCCCGCCTTGAACTCCGCCACGAGCGCCGCGACCACCTCGTCACGCTCCTCGATCGAGAGCCGCCGTTCACGTGGCTGGGTTCACAGCGATTGTAGGAAATGACCACTTGACGGTCGCGGCCTTCCGACTCGCGCCTCGCTGCACCCACGACGGCGGCCTCGGGGCGCGCATGACCGAACGCGCTTGCGGCGCCGCCACGCCGTCCTTTCACATCGGTTTTTTGGTTTCGAAAATTCTTTTTGTCTAGCACGCGCCAGTTCGCACCTGTGTCGAGCCTATCTGCTGTGAGAGAGAGTTCTTTTGTTTAAATTCTTTTGAACCGCATCACAAGTTCGGCTGCCGACAGACAAGATTGTCCCTTAGTCGACAGCACCCGCCTTTGGACGGTGCTCTGACTGGCTTTGAGAATATATTCTTTTCTTTTTTGGTTCACATGGCTAGAGGTTGGCCTCCCACCATTGTGAACTCATACCTTTTCGGGCAAACCATCAAGCTGCTTACAAGCTGCATGTCGATTTCGACTTGACGGCAGCACATGAAGGCATCACGATTCACGATTCACGTCTCCATGCTGCCGTCAAGTTGGAGCCAGTCTGCGGCGACCACAGCGCTCAGAATACAGAAAGGTACATAGCGAGCTTTTCAGAGTCAAGCGATTGCGCGAAATCCCACACACCACACTGGTGGATTTTGGTACACAACGCAACGCGGCCTCACGCGGGGTAATCGTGGCTGCGGTCGCGGGGAGGGCGAGTGGCCCCTTCGCTTCTGCGAGAGACAGGAGCTCGGGTGACGTTCGCCGGCAGCGGCGCGAGAGACACCAACTCTGCACATGTGACGTTCGCCGGCTGCAGGATACTGCGCATGGCACGGTCCGGGAAAGGATTGGAGGCCTTCGAGTGTAGCCCAAACATAGGTGGTAGGCCCTGTCTCTTGCGGATCTTGGGCGGCACGAAGACGTCGTCCAGCGTCCACTCGCGTTGGTACCTACTCGCCATCAACTTGCGCGCGACGGGGGAAGAGCAGTCTACCACAGGTGACATACAGCCGTGATTATTGAAGCCGTCCGCTGGCGCAACCAGCTTGAGACCGGCTCGGCCTCGAGATCCTCCTCTCCCGGGCACAGGCCCGAAGGCCTTGGTGAAGACAGATTGGTAGCACGGAAACGCCACGTTCGCGGGGCGCCTCGGGCACGACGAATTCCCTCCAGGGCCGAGAGCGTAGCCACGCGCGATCACCTCCATCAGCGAGCCATTATCGGTGCATGACCAGGTGTAAGCCATCGTCAGCTTGATCCATAGGGGCAGCAGGAACTCGAGCATACGTGGCGTGCGACGCACGAAGATCGCGCCGTTGTTCATGATCTGGTGGTGGTCGGTCATCACCAGCTCACTCGCGTCGTCGAGCCACTCGGAAAGCGGGCGCTCGTGGTTGACCAGATACACGTCGGCGTCGAAATAGATCACCCACCTGCAGCTCTCGTCTCGTAGGCGAGCAAGGATGGCCGCGGGTTTTGCAGTTTGAGCCGCTGGCTTTGAATCGTCCAACCACTGCGCGAAGATGCGGTAGCCGTGCCGGCCAGCATAGCAGCGCTGCGAAGCGACCTGCGAGGCATATTTCTTCGCCACAGCAGGTCCAATCATTGTCAGCATGCAGATCGATGCCGGAGCGACCCCTGTGTCGTCGGAGCTTGGAGCCCTGGTGCTGTCTGCCGACTCGCTGGAGCTCCAGCGGGTGCGACTCCGTCCAAGTGTGCCGGATGCAGCCGAAGCGCGCACAACACAAAGCAGCGCGAGGGTGCGCCATGAGAGTCGAGCCATACGGCGGCAGCGCAAGGGTACGAGCGCAGGGAGAGAGGGATGCGCTGGGCGACGCGGTGAAATCGCTGGTCGATGGCGTGCAAAGATCTTTGCCGGTGTGCCGTCGGACCCCTCGGGGGCGGGGCGCATGGGGGCGTTCGTCGCTTGCGGCAACACGCTGCCACGCGCCCGCGAGACGGTTCTGGGCGTGGAGGGCGGGGACAGGGGTGGGAGGGTGGGACGGTGGGATCCGCGGACGGGGACCGGGACGGTTGAGGCTGTCAAGGGCCAGTACACGGACGCAGAGGGGAAGTGCCATGTGGAGGCGTTGCTCTTCGAGGAGTTCGGCGCAATGAGCGCGGGGGTGGAGGAGCTGCTGATGCGGGTGGCTGAGGTGGCGGGCCGGAAGCTCACGTGGTGGCAGTACGACCAGACGTCGTGGTCGGCGCGCGAATGGATGCCGTTTGCGCTGCAGCGACTGTCGGTGCAGCTCTGGGTGGCGCTCGCGGACGAGGCACAGCGCGCCATTGGTGCGGCGTCGCGCGACCGCGAGGGACCGCGGGGGAATGCTAGTGGGATGGGGGGCTCTGAGGGGAAGGGAGCGGGGGGCGCCCAGTAGGGCGCCGGCACCCCAGCGTAGAGGGCGTCGTGTAGCCCTCCTTTTGGTATAACAAATCTCGCGTCTGTGATCAAAATCGGCGGGCTTTCGACGCTGTTCACGCGATCGGCTGTGGTTACGCCCCGCGCATAGGACAACAACGTCTGTCCCACACACGCACAGACGCGCACATACATCATGCTCGGGCACCCACCCAGCACAGTGTAGTCGTGGTGTGAGCACACAAGCAAGTACTAGCAGAGTGCACACCTGCCTTGGCGGGTGAGGGTCGTAAGCCTCAACGACGCCCTCGCGAGTGGCAGGTGCTGCAATCATGTTGCTGAGCGCTCCCGCGGCATGCTCCTTCTGCCTCTCAGTCCCATCGCGAGCCAGATATACCAGGGACATCTCACATCTCACGCCTGCGGCTTGAATAGGTACCATGATGGGCAGCATCCCGGGTGGACCATGCGGTGTGTGACGTGATAGGTGAGCCCTTGATCGCGTACGAATTGCTCGAGTGCCGCCTTCACCCCGCCCGTTCTGCTCGCCCGCCAAGTGTCTGGACCACCGTTTGTCAGCCACGGCCACTCAAAGTCATGACCGGCGATCAGGCCTCCCGGGCGAAGCTTTGGCCAGTACATGCGCAGGTCTTCTTGCACACCACGGAAGTAATGGTCGCCATCGATGTATACAAAGGCGAGCGACGAGTCCGTTATGTGCGCTGCCGCGTCTGCCGATAGCATTCGCAGCTGACGCACCTTGCCGCTGTAGCGCGCGTGGCGAAAGTGTGTCCTCACCGAGCAGAGCTGCGATCCAAGGTGACTCTGGTCCGTCATGGTGACCAATTTGGCGTTCTTTCCAAAGCGCTGTGCAGCAGTGACCTTGTCGAACCATGGATCCACCTGGGTGTATTGCGTGCAGCCACGCCAGCCAGCGAGCACCATAGAGGAAAACTCTCCGTCTGCCACGCCGACCTCGACTGCGGCGCCGCGGACGTCCACCGCAGCGAGGAGCCACGCAAAGTCGTTGCGGGAGGACAAGGTTACGCGACCTGCTATGACATCTGATAGCAGTTGTGCACGGTCCTCCGGAAGGCTGCACGGAGGCCACGCCGTCATTGCTAGGCGACTGCTCTTGTATGTCTTGGAGGACTCATTTGAGTGCGTGCGACAGCGCGCATGGCGTGCACAGTACCAGCCACGTTCAGCATCAATCCGATGGTCGAGGCACGGCCGGTCAATAGGTCCCGGTGGGTAGGGTGAGGGGCATGATGCCGGCCAGTTCCAAGGCTGTGGCCGCTCGCGAACCAACCATCTTTGCCACGCATGATCTGCAGGCAATTTTGGCGACGGAGCGCACGAGCCGCCGTCGGTGAGCGAGCACGGGCTGCTGACGTTGACGGTCTGGAGCGGCGCCGCTGGGTTGCCGCATACGCCCTTCAAGAAGAAGAGGGTCACAAAGCCGACTCGGAGAGCGCACGCGCTGGAGAGCAAGGGTACGGAGATCGCTGCGTGGCTGCGGCCCTCCACGTTCTTGACCTGCCCACGCAGCAGCGGCTCAAGGCATGCTGCGAGGAGCAGCGCCAGCACGGCCGCCCAAGGGTGGAGAAAGAGCAGGGACCGTCGATCTGTGAGAGGGCCGTGGCGTTCGTGAAGCTCTCCTCGAGTGAGGGGTCGCCGATCTTGGTCGCGATGTGGAAACGGGGCCGACGGTGTGGGAGCGGGGAGCGAGGGCGGGGCGAAGGGGGGGCGAGAGTGGGTGGAGGGCGGCGCAGGGACGGGCGGCGGAGCAGGGACAGGCGGGAAGGGAGGTGGGTAGGGCGGCTAGCAAGGGATGCTGTAGAGAGCAGAGAGTCGCACACGTTTGTGGCCGTCTCGTCGGCCTCGATCTTGGAGAGAGAGAGCCGCGGCGGTCGTGCAGCCCGTCGTGTTGCTCGTGGAGCCCGAGCCCTTGATCGGATCCAGCTCGGCATCGGCCGCGGCGCCGATGGGCTTGAAGGTAGCTGGGGCGGCCGCGCGAGAGGCGGCGTGCGAGGGCGTCGCGAGAAGAGCGAGGGCGAGCATGACGGCGGCAGAGATATGCACGATATGAGATGCAGAAAAAAACGCCGCAAATTCTGTGGTTCAGGGCGGCTCGCACAGTCTGAGTTGGCAAGGTAAGGGGAATGATCAGAATGGCAAGGCTCGGAATGCGTTCTCAGAACGTTCAGAACACCGGCCGCTGGGCCCGCCTGAGGCGCTGAGACCCGGAGCCTCTCTCTCGGCACTAGCAGCAGACAGAGGGCGGGGTAAGCCGTCATTGCCCGGCGCTGCTTGCAGCGCTCTGGGTGGTAGTGGCGGCGCTCCAAGAGTGGTGCTCTTGGGAAGAGGTTCCTCCTTTCCGCTCCCCCCCCGCAAGGCGCGAGACACAGGCACAGGGACAGTGACGCGGCTCATCAGTCCTCCCTCAGCCCGACCTCGGACGGAAGACTAGGGATCCCTACAAAGGTCGCAGGAATGATCAGAACGGCATCCAGGCGGCACCGGCCCTACGACTCGGACCGTGCCACAGCCCATCCCCCCAAGCGCCAAGGCAGCCCACCGCCCACCGCCCGGCCCCAGCCGGTCCGACCTCTTCACACGGCGACGATTGCGCCGCCGGCCGCCGCTGCCAGGGCCGCCGCCTCCGTCGGCGCCAGAACAGGCTCGAACAGCAGCCACGACTCGTACTCTGCCGACGGCGAGCCGTCGTACATCGACGACTCGAGCGAGAGGTCCGTCGCCGCGCCGTTGTCAACGTCGAACTTGGCGACGAAGTTGACGCGGTCACGCTCGATCGTGCGCCGGCCGTCGTTCACCTTGGCCGTAACCGTGCCCACGCACCAGCCGTAGTGCTCGAAGCGGACCATGATGCGCTGCTCGATGAGCGCGTCGCTGGCCGGGTTGGTCGGGTCGAGCTGCTCCTCCGTCGGCGAGGCCGCGACAACCTTGAAACCGTCCGGCACGAGCAGCGGCGCCTCCACCATGCCCAGCACGTCCCCCGCGTCCTCAAAGGTCACGAGTGGCTCCTCATGCTCCGCTTCGGGTATTTTTCGGGGATACCTGAGAATTCTCGGGTATATACCCGGGTTTTACCCGGCCGGCCACCTGGGTCGGTCCGAGAATGTTCCAGGAATGATCAGAATGGCGAGGGCCAGAACGTGTTACATGTACTAGTCAGAACGGACCCCAGTTGCCGATCCTGCCAACTCAGCGCACAGTAGTGTGTGTGTGTGTGTGTGTGTGTGTGTGTGTGTGTGTGTGTGTGTGTGTGTGTGTGTGTGTGTGTGTGTGTGTGTGTGTGTGTGTGTGTGTGTGTGTGTGTGTGTGTGTGTGTGTGTGTGTGTGTGTGTGTGTGTGTGTGTGTGTGTGTGTGTGTGTGTGTGTGTGTGTGTGTGTGTGTGTGTGTGTGTGTGTCACGTCACTGCATCCCCTGCCTCGCCTGAGTTGGAAGGAGATGGGAAGATGGAACAGCCCGAGGGAGAAGCGGAACGAAAATATATCCTCCTTTCCGCCGCCCCCCTCCCCGCTGCCCCCGCCTCCGCCGCCCCCCGCCCCGCCCCCCTCCTATCCGCCGCCCCCCCCTCCACCGCCCTCCGCTACGCCGCCACTCCCCCCACCACCGCCCTCTCCACCGCCCTCCCCCACGCCGCCCCCCTCTCCGCCGCCCTCCCCCTCGCCACCTCCCTCTCCGTCGCCTCCGGCTACGCCACCGCCCCCGCTGCCGCCGCCCTCCCCGCCGCCACCCTCTCCGCCTTCCCCGTGGCTGCCGCCGCTCTCCCCTCCGCTACCAAGCCCCTCTCCCTCGCCTTTGCCTCCCCCGCCGCCACCGCCGCCCTCCCCGCCACCTTCGCCGCCGCCGCCCCCTCCTCTGCCGTCTTCCCTACCACCACCCTCCCCTTCGCCGCGCCCCTCCCCACCTCCAGACCCTCCCTCCTTGCCGTCACCGCCAACGCCACCGCCGCCCCGCCTTTGGCCCGGGCATGTGATCAACCTCGTCGACGACGAGAGCGACGGAAGCGAAAGGGACGAGGCCCTCCTCCGCCGCCCCCCTCTCCGCCTGGCGACGCGAGCGCACTTCCGCGCGACGAAGCAACTCGGGGCGGGCGCGGTGCTCGGCATCGACGTCGTCCACAAAGCCGTCGAGCTGCACGACCAGGCGTGGCTCCACGAGGCGCAGGGCTACTCAACCACCCCAAGGGCGCCATCACCCTCGCCACGCGCTGCGTCGGCGTGGGCCCTAACTCGGTGTGCATCTACCACCGCGCGAGGCTACCAGGATGCGTCCCGTGCGACATCGGCGAAGCGCGAGTGCCACGCACGCTGTCGCTCTTCGAGCACCTCAGTGGCACGCACTGGGACGGGTGCAACTACGGCGGCTGGTTGGCCACGGGGCACGCATCCCTCAACACCCACGTCACGGACATCGCCCGCGCCTTCGGCGCCTCGGCAAAGGTCATGGAGGTGAGGCTCGGCTGCAGGGACCCGACGCGGGCGCACGATCCGGACACCAACCCGTACCAGCGGGGCGACGGCGTCTTCGGCAACTATGCAGAGTCGGCACGCGCCGTGGTGTACGACGGCACGTGCGTCACCGCGGTGCACCACGACAGGCTGCGCCCGCTGGCGAGCGGCAAGCACCTAGCCACCGACTACGCCGAGGCGACGAAGCGGAAGGCCAAGGCAGCGGCGTGCGACGCCAAAAACTGCGACTTTATGACGTGGGCGGCGAGCACGCGTGGCGGCATCGGGCACGAGGCGGCGACGTGGTTCAACACCAACTTCGACATCAAGGCCGCTAAGGCAGCCTCCGATAGCGAACGATGGCGGGTCAGTAGCGAGCGCAAGCGCTTCCTGCAAGTGCACTCGACCATCGTCGCGAGGCGCAACGCCGCCATCTTCGACTACAACGCGTGGCCGAAGATGGGCGGCGAGATGCCGCGGGCGCCTCGGGTGCAATACGAATAGGGACGGGCGAGGGAGGAGGGGCGCTGACCACGG